TAGCCATCTGAAAAACAATTTCCATATTACGTTAAGTTCTTCTAAATTGTTGTTAGGAAATTTTATTTAATAATAAAATAAAATAAAGATGATTATTAAAATAAACAGTGTTATGAAAATTCTCTTTACTGTTTAATAGTTCTTTACTGTTGTACTGTTTCGATCGAAGAGGTCGAAATAGTTCGACAATAAAAGAGGAAAAGTAACTAACATGATCCAACACTTCGCAGAAATTTCGTATCAGAAAAAAATTTCGCGCGCGTTTCATTAAAATAAATAAGAATGTCAAGCGTTTAAACAATGATAAATACTTAGAAGACTGTGAAATAATAGCATAGGAGGGAAGATTGTGGGATCGATTTATTTGATGTAAGAAAAATCGAACCTTTAAATGCATCGATCGCACATCCTGGCAGAAAATATATTTATGTCGCAATATAGACAATGATTGACGTAGAACGTGTTAGGCGTAACTTTTTTATTAGCACCAGTAAAATATTCGGACGTAAGTTAACATGCATAGGAAATTCGTGTTAAACTTCTAGTGAGCGGAACGACAGCTGTTCACAGGTATACTTCCAGAAGAACTGCACACAAGTGTCCCAAGTCCTAAGGGAACAGAACATAGAGAGTGGAGGGCAAGGAGGGATGCTACGCTGATCCAATCATTATTTTGGGAAAGCCTAGGTTCGCACAAGCCGTGCAGCTATAATTAAACTATCGTAGGACAATGTGACGGGAAAGACTTGCCTGCAGCTTGATCAACATAGTAAAGCACGTTCAACTATGAAAAGCACGCATACTATCTCAGATAAATTCTCTTGTCAAGAAAAATTTTGTCTCTAAGGATTCTTGAACAAAACGTGAACTGACTGCACACCGGGCCGAATAATTTCGAAACAAAAAAAAAAAAGAAAAGATGAATCAATGTTTAGATCTGCGACTGAAGTTTTTTTTGTCTCGTGAAGTACTGCTGCGTACACCATTTGCACGCGACATGAAAGCGTGCACGGCCGTAACTAGAAACAAGACTTAACGCGGCACAACATTTCGCACGGACTTTGTATCGGTACTGGCATGCTCGTTGCTTTGGTAGGAGCTGAGCAATACGTTTCGTCGATCGCGCAAGTTCGCATACTCCGATGTTTCTATACTCACAACTCGCGGCTAACACTCGAGACAAGTGAACGCATGTATATAATACGTTTCACAGATATGTTTTGCATATCAACATTTTATTCTGCTGATGTTTTTCCATATTGCTTTTCTTACGGGTTTTCGTGCATTAGGTTTTTAAATTGAAAATATTCACTAAGTGTTGAACTGCAGCATTAAATTTAGCGTTTTCTAACGTGAATATACTAATTACTAATATATTAAAATAAATTTAAGATTCAGCAAATTTATCAAGTAGATTAGTAAATTAAAATTCAGGGGCGTACGTAGGTTCTATCTACCTAAGTGCTTAATGGCCGATGACTCATGCAAACACGTCAATTCTCTTTTATTATGTGACGCTGTATGATGTTAGATAATCAGGAATTTATTCGACATTATATAAAACAATAGTTATTTACATTATTGTAAAATATTTAATAATTATTATCAAGTATTATTATCTATTATTTATATTATCCAGTTAATTTACATTGTTGTTTATACTTTAAAATTTTTTCCTCGGTTCTAATTATCACTTATTAGGAATATTTTCATAAATTATTTATTAAGTCATAATACTATGTTAATTTAAGCTTACTAAATCAGTTTTCGACGCAAACAAAATCGTTCGTTGTTTGCAATTATGTTGTAGATCAGATCTATGTTACATAAGTTTTTTAGTCGTTCCTTATCATAGATATATTCGATTTATGTAATTCTACGAAGTAGTGCGTTCAAAGCATAACTCGACGTAATCTACATATATATATATATATTATATTACGTAGTCGAAATAATACAAAAATAGGAAAAACGTATTCAAAATTGCAGATTAAAAAAGATATTATACAAAATTGAAGGGAAAAGCATATCATTTTGGGAAAAATTTTAGAAAATACAATTTTAAAAAATACAAAACTTTAGAAAATAAAATTTTCATTCTGTTAAAAATTTATCACTGTTATTGTATACGCATTGTTATCAAGAGTGACGATGCTTTTCTGTTACTTTACTCACTCGTTTCGTCTCCATGACACGAATAAACAACATTAATAGTTTTGTAAAGAGTTTACTCGTGAATTGCAAAAGTAATGCCAGAAATTGCGATCACTCCGAAAAGCTCGTCTTCCCTGAGTGTTTCAACAAGCTCGAGGGAAGGGTCGAATCAATGTTTCGCTAAGAAACAGCTGACGAGATGCATGCAACATAAGTTTCTAACGTACTCGCAACTTCCTGTAAGATGTCAGAGACCCAATCGATATTATCGTCCTCCCAGGACCTCTTTCAGATTAGCCAGTCTTGCAACAGTTAATCATAAAGCCACAATCAACACGACGAAAAGCTGTCCGGACAATTCAACATGCTCGATCTATCATGTTATCGATACATCACGTTGCAAAAAGAGTTTATCCATGATTGATTTTTCACCTTTGATAATGGATGCTGAAAACGGCGATCTTAGGTACAGTTTATACTGTAGAATATTTATAACAGTTTAAACGCAATTAAGTGATGCATCATTTTGCGATTCAGATCAGACAGTAGTTCAACCGCGGAGAAATTCGAAGAAAATGATAAAATCAAGGAGACCATTGGCAACGAAATGGGGATCAGCGTCGGTATCAGGAAGTGGATGGACGGGTTCGCCACATCGGAATCCGAGCAAGCGTGTTCTCAGTTCTTTCAAAATCCAAAGAAAGCTGCGTATTTAGTGTGTCACGTGCTTATGTTGAATGCCTGGAGATGTAGGCGCAGTGATGTTCAATATCTTCGTGGCACGATCGACGATTTGAACCAGCGGATCGAACACTTGCATCTACAAATCGTTGTACTACGACGGTTACTCGACACGGAGAATAGTCGTGTTAGCAAACTGACTGGCGATATTCATCGTGTTAAAATTCAGTTCGATGAAACGCTGAAAGAAAAGAATACATTGAAATCGGTAATTTTTGTAGCATTTGTTCAGAGATCGGCGAGGTTCGCTAATTAATTAATTGAAACAAGTAGAAAGAGTAGAAAATGTACCTTTACGTCCATTCGTAAGCATGGTAACGTTGCACACGGCTGAGGAATAAGAGCTCTATACACACTTAACATCTTGTGGACGATGAACATGAGAGTTCAATGACGTGTATCTAACTAGAGGGATGACGCTAGCATAAGAGCTCGCGACACGAGTTTTGGGGCACGCAATAATATAGTTACCGAAATGAAATGATGCATTCTTGATGTTCCTTTGATAAACAAGAATATCTTGTAAACAAATTTAATAGCTGCACTTATTATTATGTTATTTTGTTATTGTTATTTCAACGACGATCTTCTTACTTTCTATTCTTTTGAAACTTGAAGATATTCCTGCAAAAAAACAATTTGCATGGCTAACTAAATTCTAAAAGCTTTCTATACATTTATATAAAAACGGAAACTTATTTTGTTGGATGTGGACGGCAATATGCGTCGTAGCGTTAGCATTAATTAGTATATACTATACAGGCAAGTGGAGAGTTGGCATTGGTCCAGCAGCTAATTGTGAAGCGAAAGAAGAAACTGTATCGCGACGACACCGGCGATAGATGAAACTGGTTCTAGATTTACGAAAGTTCAATTTAGCATCGAGCATGCTTTTACAAACTAGGCTACCGTTCTTTTGCAGGAAAAAGTAAAAATGGAAGACGAGATTAAATGTTTGACCGAGCTTTCCGAGGAGAGACTGGTTGCAACGGAAAATGTACGAAATGAGCTGCTTACCGCGCAAAATCAACTTCGTGCGCTCGACGAACAAATGTCGAAGGATCGAGAAAAGTTGTTGAAATTACGAGAAGATAAGAAACTACTTCTGGAAAAGGCTAGATTTCTAAGTCTATTCTACTCTATAGACAAGATTTAGTAATGGAGAGCAACGTTTGCCACGAGCTTGCATATCATACCACTATAAAAATTGATTTCGCTCGATGACTTATTGTTGTGCTCGTTGGAGACGAGTCCACCAAAGGGGTGAATTCTCAGTTCAATGCGGATTTCTTACTTGTTCTTTTCTATGAACGAATGACTCATTCGTTCACCCTTTCAAACTTGAGAATGAAATCTTTAAAACGGTTGCAAGTTTGCATTATCTAAAATTCTTGAGGAAATTTGCGTACTTTGAAAATTTCTTTACAATTGCTTTCATTTTCTCAAGAAAAATTAATTTTTCTACAAAAAGATCTTCTTTTCTTTATTCACGCGTTGCTATTCCAATATTTATAGATCCCTAAGAGATTTAAGAGCCGTAATAAGAAACTTATACACTTGTTAGGTAGGTCAATGCACGACAGGATATACTTCATAGTTGAGTCATATCTTTTTTGCTTCATCGGTGACTCAATATCGTGTAATATTCCTTCCTTACTAAGAAAACGGATCGATATTACCTGACCTATTAATTCCCATATAGGGGTAAAACAGAAATCATGATATTGTTATTTTACATAAACTAGCAATATCTCGTACTAAAGAATAGTTGCATATCTTATATCGATTGATTCTTGTAGTGTTTGCTTGTTGAACATGTATTAGAGAAATGTAATGACTGTTTTAGGTGACTGCCAGTGAATCGTTAGCAACTGAAAGAGGAATGAGAGCAGATAAAGCTGAGTCAACCGTGGAGGATCTACAATTGAAACTCGCTACGCAGATTGCTCTAGTTGAATCTTCGCAGGAACAGATAGAACGATATTCAAAGTAAATTTAAAGTAAAATTATTAGCCCTCGTCAGTATAAACATCACTTTAATAACTCTGTATCTGTAGAGAGTTAAAAGCTAAAGAAGATGAGAAAATCAAATTGTTAAAGCTTTTAAAGTCGAGCGAAGATACGGGGAGAAATTCACACTTGCGAGCGATTTCTCTAGAGGCTCAGCTAGTTGATCGAGAGATAGCTCTGGAACGCATGCAGGTCGCATACAATTCACAATTGTAAGTATCTTCATTTGTTACTTACGAGCTCAAAATTAATCTCTGATTATTTCAGAGCGGAATTGAATGAACTGAAAGAACGTTTAATACGCCAATCCCAAGAAGGGGGATGGAGTACTAGAATGTTGCAAATAGCTGGTAGTGTTGTACGGGCGCCAAGAGCTATACTACGCACTTTATTATCGGGTCCAGTGTTAGCTTCTTAAAGATAACTTGGTAAGTATATCGTCATTATTTGTTAATTACAAGAACGAATTGTAACGAATGCTTATTATTGAAATTTCAGTTGTTGTTTGAGGATGATAGCCTCGTACTTCGAGTTCCATTTTGGAACGGAGGATTTAAAAAGTGGAAGTTCAAGGGTGACGATGATTGTTTGATAAAAGAATGGAGCAAGGGAAGATTTTACGTTCAAGTTAAGGAAGATGAATTATATACGCTTGCGAAGAAATCAAAGAAGACAAGAACAGTTTCAAAACGATAGCAAATTTTCGGGTACTCTTATTACTAAAATTATAACTAAAATTATATTTTTTTTTTATTTATATATATTTTTTTTATTCTTTATACTTTCTAATATCATGGACTTTATATATAGTATTTTCGATCAAGAAAAAAAAAATCAATACCTCAAAATATTTAATGATATAATATTATATCATATTCGCTGGAAATTATTCTACAAACTTAAGGATGAATAAATAAATGCAGATATCGTATAATTTTTTTTATCTATATTTTACACCTTTTTTTTTCATGTAACATGATAAAGCGATAAAAATAAGATACCGCCAGAATCGCTCAGTTTGTTACGAAAATTGATTTCCTCTTGTTGCGACACATTAACAAATACATTTAATAACTGATAAATACACATTCTATCTTAGTTGATCATATTTTACATAATACTTAAATTCATACATCGTTTTAACCGTTCATCGTTTTAATGGAGATAAACTAAATATATATAACAGAGCGATGCTAATGGTATATTATTTTTTTCAAAAACAGATTACAGTAGATCGTAAAATCTAAGGGTACGAGTGACACAAATACGACGTGTCTGATCACATTTCTCATTATTGTGTATTTAAGTACAAGATAAAATTGATTTCGTTTTTTTGATAACAATATCGGTTTTGCAGTATACTTTCAGGCTTCAGCCAGTATAGTATAGATCCTTTATCATTTGAGGCTTATCGTACACAGCAAGTGAAGACACGGCACAAAATTTCAGTAGAAGATTCGTTCTTATTATCACAAAATCGTTTTATACTTGAGTGTATGTTGTTAGGTGTAATTTTATGTTATCTTTTCGCTAGTCGATCTAAGACATTTCTTATTACATGTGTTAATTGCGACAACAAATAATGCTGTCCTACAATCTTGAGACTGGATTCGGTCGTACTCGTCAATTTACCACTTTATTCAATAATTTTTAATGAAATTTAAAGAAAAATAAAGAAAAGCTCGGTGTGCAGTTGAAGGAATTTCATGAAAAATGTACGCAATAGTTAACAAAATTACAGTCATATTACATCTACGAAGAAATCTGAAGACTATTATTCATTGACTTTGGTTGCAAATAATATGAATTTAAAAAACGAAATAGCAATAAAAAAAATACACTATATTATTTTTGTTATTTATTGTGTGTTTTTAATGCGAAGTAAAAAAAAAAAAAAAAAGAAAAAATACTGATTGGGTACTGACGATTTTCTTAAATTTTATAATGCGTATGTCAACTTCAACTAAATCGGCAATTATAAAAGAATATCATTGCATATTGATAAACTGTGGAGAATATATCAAATCTGATGGCTTGAGGAACGTGTAAGTACCTACTTTTATGAGTAATAAAATTTACAATATTTTAACAACAAGCTTTGATACAACAAATTGAGCAATGTAGATGTTTCTTTAAGATTGCTCTTTGTATCACCTCTTTATAAAAACGTTACCACAAGCCAGTAAAAATATTAATATCGTCGTTTATATTTTAAAATATATTGGATTGTTCATGATAGTCATTTGGCAGAACGCAAAAAGAATAATTTCAAAAATTCTATTTTTCATTTATCAAAATATGCGGTAAATGTAGTTTTTTAAGACTAGACATTTTTAAATAAAACTGTAATAATGATACAAAAAATATAATAAACTTAATTGACTATGTTAACATATTCCTTATTGATGACGTAGCGTGTCATGAAAGATCGCTACACATTAGCCGATGTCGCATTATGTGCGTCATTGACAAGGACATTTTTTGGATTGCAATCGAAGAAGTCATTCTATGATAAAATAGTTGTAGAAGGCGGCTCAAAAAGTGTTATAGAACGTTTGAATGTTAAATAAGTATGTTATATGCACAACTGTTAATGTATAAAAGTAGTGTCATCGGTTACTGAGGATAATTTTTCCTAATCTCGCCGGTAAGGAATGTGTTGATAATACAACAAATAAAATAACTTTGATAATAACCTTAGTCTCTTTAAATCATACCGAAACCTTCGGTACCTTCACTAATCGCTAATAATAAAGCTCGCTCAAAGTGATCGTAACATTCGTAATCCGGTAAGCAGAGCTGATTGAAGCTGCAACAATATTAAAATAATTATTATTCTTTGAAAATTATTATTATTTGATTACTTGAAATTACTTGAAAATTATTTATTATATCGGAACATTCAATTACCAAGTATGTGCTGTAGGCAAGTTAGCAAAAGTTGGTGCTGCTGTTATTTGAAATCGTGGACTCAGTTGTTGAAATCCACCAGGTGGTAATTGCGAGCAACCTGTAGTAAATTGTAATAACCGGGCCATCTCTTCCTGCGTGAAGTTGCTAACTGCAGTCCAAAACCAATCAAGAACTCGAAGAAATTCTGGAGAACTTCCGTTAGCTATATGATGGGCACGTAGATCTGCGACACTGTATTCACCAGTTCCACATAATAATAGCTAAAATAAGTGTAAAATAAGTATTGATTTGAATAGAAAATAAGTACTAATTTAAATATAAGAAAAGATATTTACTTCAAGTTCGTTCTCGTCAAAAATCCCCAAAAGGTTATCGGGAATGAGTTCGTTCAATCCCCTTAGAAAATGTTCTACTTCGTTTCGTATAGAACTAGCGAGTCTATGTTGCGCAAGCGCATCCAAATAACGCAATTTCGTTTCGTTTGTTACACGAATCTTACTGCCTCCAGGTATTAATTCAGCTATCTATAATAAATATATTTAGAGCTAATGATATAAACATATCGTTCATTTGCTGTAATAATGATAAATAACTCAAAAATCACTGTTTTAAGAAATACGAGTTTGAATATTCTTCTTGTCATGTTTTTGTTACAGTGTCGCACAAGTTCTAATAATAATATTTAATTAATAATAATATTAACACAGTCAACGACATTTTTTTGTATAAATAACTCAAAAACTGCAAATTTCGAGTTATGTTATTATTGCAGCAAAAGAGCGATACGATAATAAACGATTATGATCTCACTTTTAGTAATTGACCATCTTTATCATATTCTTCTTCAACAAAATAAAGTTCCATCTCTTCAACATCATTTTCTAGAATATACTTTATCTTGCTTAGATATAAGTCTGGATCATCTTGCTCGAAATACTATACGGAACAGAAAAACATAAATAGGTCGTTGCAATTCTATTTTGATATAATGCACAATTATACCTTGTAATGCACTCTGAGGCCTATGATCTGCGCAAGAAATGATCTTGTAAATCTTGCACGTACTAACTGTCGATAGGAACCACCAAGAGCGGATTCGTATAGGCATTTTCCCACGATTCTTCCAGCAAACTCGTAATGTTTTAATTTGAGATGCGAAGGCCGTTTACTGTTAGGATGAACTAATGCTTGTTGTGATTCTCCGAAGGAAGCAAACAAACCATTTCCTGAATCGAACAGTGCCGCACAAATTAACTCGAACCATTCCCGTCGAACACCACCCCAATCGACGCCTGAAACCAAATATCAAATGCCACTAATATTGCATTAAATATTATTTATTTTTAAATAAATACAAATATTTTCACAGGGATGACGTACCTTGTTCACCTTGGAAGCTGATTTCAAAATTTCTGCACCAGTCACTTACAGAAAATCCTTTGGTAGCTTTCATAGACTTAAGGGAAGAAATCGTGACAAATATGAGTGACATTAAATTATATTAATTAATATTTAACACTTACCGATTCTAGCAATTTGTCTCGTTGGACTTTCATCGAAAGCTTTTCGTGATAATGTTTTTGATGGTGCTTTCGTACTTCGTGATAAAAGAAGTCTTGTTTATCGGCAAAAGTTTCACTTCCTCCTATGTTCTTCAACAGAAACAACGTAAATGTAGCGGCTATTATATCTCGATATAAAGAGATCAATTCAACGGGCGGCTGACATCCATCATCGATAGAAAAAGAATCGTAGCCTTCGTATTGATTATTCGAACAATCAAAATGGAACTGAAAAGTAATACATATATATATATATATGTATGTATATATATATATGTATATATATGTGTATATATATGTATATATATGTATATATATGTATATATATATGTATATATATGTATATATATATGTTCAACGTAATACTGAAAAAAAAAGTGGATCTTTGCTTACTTTAGTTGACGGACAAAGTCTGAATGTAACAAGCCTTTTCGGAATAATTCTTAATAAGTATTCTTTAATAGTAAGCTGCTTAGGCGAAATGAAACAGACAACTTTTTTCGGCTTTGAGAATTTCTCGCCTTGCATGCCCAACAATTTTGCAGCATAACAGATATTGGGATCCTTCGAGGCCACGTTATTGTGTACCATTCTAGCAACATCACCTACGCTAACAAATATAAATACTGTAAAAATAAAACTTCGTTCCTAAGTATGATTTCGAAAAGTATCTTACGTACTCTCGAGTACAATGATGTCGAAGTCACCGTTGTGTAGCTGTAGCCCTCCTAAACTAACCGTCGCGTGATAACAGTTACCCTTGGGAAAACTGACTTTTAAACGAATCCTTTGATTCGGAGAGTCGTACTCAAGTTGTATGTTACAATTCACAATGGCTGACTTATCTACCGAACTACCAATCTGTAATTAAAACAACAGATAATGAAGTCAACGGCAATAATGTGTATATTCTTCAATCATAACAGTATATTTCACTTGCCTGAGTAATATTAACTTGGTAACCTTCTGTAGGCTTATCCCCGGGTCCAAATATGCACAGATTATCATATTCATCTCGAGGTTCTATTGTCATAGAGTGTGCAACTCCGGCTGTACAAACTACTGTCGAACTTTGTCGCACAAAGATGGTCTTATTTGGATCCGGTGGACCTAAAAGATCAAACGCGATTCTACAATAGTGTACAGTTCTTCTTCGCAAAGGTATCATGTTTAATACGTTATCGTGTGAACATACCAGGAAGAAAATTTTTAAGAAACGGACTGCCGTAAACGTGACAGGAACCAATAAGTACGGCTATTCGATATTGTCCAGCATGGCGGACAGTAAACTTTACAACTGCAATATTTGCAGCTAAGGGGTCGGTGCCTCCCAACTCTATCAGGGTAGCTACTCTTCGCGTACCTTCTGTGACTTCAACGATTAAATTGTCTTTGTCACAAATTGGATACGGTTGGCCATTACGTTGATAAAACTATAAAAGTTTGAAGGAGTAAACTATCGTATTAATAGTAAAATAACCAATTGTTTAGAAATATACAACAAAATAGCTTTCACCTCCAGCAGTTTGTTACTTTATTTAAAGACAAGTTCTATTACGTACCTTCACTACAAATGTCATAGTTCCTCCAACGAGCTGCGGTTCATCCCATGCAAAATGAACTCGGCAATTGCTCGGTAACAAATATTTTCCAGTCACATATTGCAGCAGGGAATGCTTCGCCTCTGGTGCCAGAGCTGGCTGTGTCATAGCAGCCAGTGTCACTAACCCTGCTACTGAC